TCTTTTAAAATGGGATAGGAATACCCACATCATTGATGGTTGTGCAACTTTATAAATCAACTAAAAAGCATTCAACTCAACACTTAAAACAGGTGATTTTTCTGGTATGTAAAATATATTCAATAAAGCTCTTTTCTTCTTCTTCTTCTTCTTTTTTTTTTTAAAGAAAAAGGGGACCTAGATCATAGAGATGCTGTGAAAATAAAAATGTAAACTGTCTGGCACTGTGCCTGACACACAGTAAACACTCAATAAATACTAGTGATTAATATTAGTGTAATAAAGTTGAGAATAAAGAATAGGACAATGAAGATACATAAAGTTAGACTTTAAAAAAAGAATAAAGGAACTATTGGGTTGGTTGAAACTTCAGAAATCATTTAGTTCAACTCCCCTCATTTTACAGATGAGAAAATTAGGAACCAGCAGGTGAAGTGCTTTATTCAAGGTCTAGCTCTAATACCAAACCCTAAACCCACTGGATCCCCCATTAGTGCAATTCCCACTACCACCCACTGCCTCAGAAACATGGACATGTGAAAAATTGAAGATGTGTTTCCTAAAAGAAGAAAGCACACACAGAACACAGAAAACTCATGTAGACATGTAGAAGAAAGAATTACAAGGCCAAAAGCAAAATAAGAGGAAACCATCATACCCTGGTCTATCAGGCCAGTGGAGCCCAGGTCATGAAAGCTTCAGTGCTTTGGCAAGGAGGCCCTGTTTAGTCAAGTGGACCAGCCTATCACTATGGCCAGGTGCCTTGTGACAGTGAAGCTGCATAGTTCTTTCTGCTTCCTGACACAAGATCTGTCAGCAGCAGCAGGGGCTAAGACCAAAAGTGGATGCAGCAGAGTTCTTGGGAACAGTTGGCCTGAGCAGCCCAAAGTGGGGAATAGCTACTAAAGAGCTGCTTCTCCCCAGGCTGAATAGTCTGGTCTCACAAGTTTATCTGGCCTTGCTCATCAGCCCCTCTGGATTCTAAGGGCCTTCATTTACAATCCTGTAAACTACCTGTGAGTTTCCTCCATCAAGGTATCCTCTTCAGATAAATGAGGAAACCTAACAAATATGGAATGACCGAAGCCTCCCAATTCTTCATTAGTTCCACCATCTTCTAATGGAACTTGATAGCATGTTCGGAAGATTTTGAAGCTAATAAAAGCTTACTAAATTATTCCAATGCTAAACAGTGGACAAAAGAACAAGGTATATCTTCTAGGCTACAACTTCCCCAACATTTCAGAGGATAACATTCAACGAGTTGACTCTCATTCTTAGGAGGTGGTGGAATCACATTCTTCCATTTATCCTGAAGAGTAACAATTTAGGCTAGATGGCTAGTACAGACCCCTAATGTTATATGACCCACTAGGGGAGGAGGGAGGAAGGGAGAGAAAAAGGGACAGAGAAAATTACAATTTTATGATTTAACTCAGTACACTGAAACTTCCCAATGAATAGTTCATAAAAGTGCCTCATCCTATTTGACCTTTTAAATAAAAATCAGTAAGACAGAGAAAGTTCTGTCCATTCATTTGATCTGAGAACTTGGAGTGCAGTTTATGAATAAGTCTGACTTCAGCTTTTCCACAGAAAGCTTTCCTATTTTGCAGATCATTCCATACAGTGAACACTTTGATGTCGGAGGAGGTGAGAGCTCCGACTAAAAGTTTTCTGACATTCTTGGCACTCATAAGGCTTCTCTCCAGTATGAATTCTCTGGTGTATGATAAGTTGGGAATGCTGGCTGAATGTTTTCTCACACTCATTACATTCATAAGGTTTCTCTCCAATGTGAATTTTCTGGTGGAGAAGCAGCTCAGAGTTATCCCAGAAGGTTCTTGCACATTCGTTACACTGATGAGGCTTCTCTCCAGTATGAATTCTCTGGTGGACGATAAGGTGAGAGGTCCGCCTAAACGCCTTTCCACATTCAAAGCATTCGTAGGGTTTCTCTCCAGTGTGAATTCTCTCATGTCTAAGAAGTTCTGAGTTCCCCCTAAAGGCTTTCCCACATTCCTTACATACATAGGGTTTCTCACCAGTATGAATTCTAATATGTCTAATAATCTCTGAGTTCTGGCCAAAAGTTTTTCCACATTCATTACATTCATATGGTTTGTCCCCTGTATGAATTCTTTGATGCCGGATAAGCTCAGAACTCTGACCAAAGCCTTTCCCACATTCATTACACAGATATGGTTTTTCTCCAGTATGAATTTTCTGGTGTCTAATAAGGCCTGAGCTATGCTTGAAGGCTTTGCCACACTCACTGCATTCATGATATCTTTCTTCAGTATGAATCCTCTGATGCTGAATAAGCTGTGAGCTAACCCTAAAAGTCTTCCCACATTCATTACATTCATATGGTTTCTCTCCAGTGTGGATTCTCTGATGCAGAATAAGGGCTGAATTCTGGCTGAAGGCTTTACCACATTCTTCACATTTATAAGGTCTCTCTCCAGTATGAATTCTATGATGGTGGATAAGATGTGAACTCTGAATAAAGGCCTTTCCACATTCATTACAAGCAAATGGTTTCTCTCCAGCGTGAATTCTCAGGTGCCTGCGAAGGCTTGAGTTAGTTCCAAATGTTTTTCCACATTCTTTGCATTCAAAGGGTTTCTCTCCACTATGAACTCTCATATGCTGGATAAGATGTGAGTTCTGATTAAAGGCTTTCCCACATTCTTTACATGTATGAGGTTTTTCTCCCATAGAACTCCTTTGTGTTTGATTAGGTTCTAAATTCCCTATGAAGTTTTGGCCAGAGGTAGCAAATGTACTAACTACCTCTGCTGTGATATCTTCCTGATGTGTAATCAGGTTTGGGCTGGAACTGCAGACTCTCTCACTCTCCTGGTCTTTCTCACTTGAGGGTGATTTCTTAAAGATAATCAACCCTGATGCAAAGTCTCTCTTCTGAGGAGACATCTGCTCCATAATCTCTTCTGTGGATTCTCTCGAATGCCCCTCCAAAATGTCTTCTTCACATGCTGCTCCAAGCTCATGACCCTGGTACACAACCTTTGGAAGTTGTTCTAATATTGCACCGTGTAGCTCAGATTCTTCCGAAACTTCTTCCTTGGGAATTACCTCCTTGTTCTCAGTCCCCATCTCACAATCTGAAATGAAAGAGGGTAAGTATGTGAAGTGGCTATATCATATCTAAATGAAACTAATGCTAATGGAGTATGGAGTTTGACATGGTGCTGACAGCACTCATAAACAGTCTTGGTATCTGGTGAAATTGTAGAGTGTCGTTGAAGAGAAGAAAGATTTAGGATTATGGTGGACATGCTAAACAAACAGCAAACAATGACTGAAAAGAGTGAGAGAAATTATCAGAGGAAGAGATTTAAGGAGAGAAACAGGAAATGAATGGTAAAAAGATGCTGATAAAAGTTCCTTAATATTTAACAGTGAGTTGGAGCTGAACTTGAGGTTGGTAAAGAAAAGATTTAGGGGAAATGGTGGCCATATTAATAGATGGTATATAAAAAAGGTTGGGAGAAATGGCAAAATGACTAATATAAGGGCTGAATTCTGGCTGAAGGCTTTATCACAAATAACTTTACCCAAATAACTTTTGGGTTCACAGAAGAAGCAACCAGAAAATGAGTAGCAAGAGTCTAGTCCTATGATACTCACCAGCTCTACAGAACAGAGGACTGTATATGTACCCATTCAAAAGGTTGCATGACATAGCTATAACTAGCACAGAAGTAATTACCTTTGGCTCCCCTGTATTTGGATGAAGTAAGAGTCTAGCTTAATTTTCTCTAGATGGTTAGTAAATTGTGTCAGTACTTTTCTTTTCCTTATTGATTTGAAATGCCATCTATACTATAGTCTAAATGACCATATGTATTTGGGTCAATTTCTGGACTCCCCTCAGTTGTATTGATCTGTCTATTCCCTCTCTAATACCAAACTATTAAACCTACTATAGCTTTATTAAAGTTTTTAATATGCTAGAGAAAGTTCTCTCTCATTAGTCTTCTTTTTCAAATATTTCCTATTTTCATAATAAAATTCAGTATAATTTTGCAAAATTTCCAAAATTATCCTGATTTTTTAAATATCCATCATGTCTCTGTATGAATATTTTTTTAGTGGTTATATTTTCTAACTGGTTATTATTTTTATGTATAGCAATGCTGTTGATTTTGACATCATTGCTAATACTTATATTCAATGTTGCTACTAATTTTGTAATTGACTCCTTTATAGAACTTTCTTAGTACTTTTATAGAACTTAAAGTCTATACTTTTTTTAAACTTCTAAAAGGCTGTGGCAGAGATTTTTAGTTGTCTATCCCAATGTCCATTCTTCCCCACTTCATCAGTAACAGAACAATGTATTTATTTAGTGTAGTAATGAACCTGGCTAAAGAAATAAATTCTCAGCCTTCTTTGCAGCTAGGTTTTGCCACATGACCAACTTCTGGCCAATAGACAGTAAGATGCAAATGAAAGAGAGGACTTGCAGGAAGTTTCCTTAAGGGTGAAGGGATGCATTTCTTCACCCTCTTCTTCAATGCTGTGCCCGGGGCATGAGCTGGTAGTTGGAGTGCCACCTCAAACCAAGAGTATACAAGCATACCCTACAATGGAACCAGAGTTAGAAGGAACCCGGGTCCCTGATGACTCCATGAAGCTGCCATAGCAGCCCTGGAATGCCTGCCTCTGGACTTCTTTTATCTAAAAAAGAAATAAGCTTTGCCTGCTTAAGCCATTATGTTTTTGTTTTGTTTTGTTTTGGGGGGGGGGCATTGTTTGTTTCTTTGTTTGTTCGTCTGAAGCCAAACTTATTCCCAACTGGTAAAATGGCCCCAGAGATTTATTGTCCCAGTCACAGAAGTAAAGTTCAAATGCTGGGAGAATGAGCCTGGCCTCTGTTCAGATAGTAAGCAATCTGGAGCTAACACTAAAGAGGCCCTTTGCCTAGGCCAGTACATTTCTGAACCACAGCAAATCTGAGGAATATAATCTTCCCATCAGTAAAAGTGTTAACTGTGGATGGCAATTCTTAAGAGGTAATGGGCAGCTATGGGAATTCATCCTTTAGAAAATGCAGTTTTGGAATGGTTTCTAAGCCAGGAAGTGATGCAGTGCATTGTCATACTAGCATTTCAGGTATATGCACACCAGTGGCTATTTAGTAGCTGAAGTAGAAAGCAATATGTCTGGACTTAGGGAGAACAGTTAGAAGGTTGATGCAGTCATCCAAGCAAGGGGTGATGAAATCTAACTGGGGCAACAGTAGTAGTGGGAATGAAGAGGAGACATCCTGAGAAATATTTAAGAGGACAAATTTTGTAAGATTTGGTGTGCGATTGGATATAGGTATAAGGAAGAGGGAGGAGTCAAAAGTACCCAGATCTCTCTTTATTTGAGGAATGGTAATTAGATGGATAGTGGTACCACCAAGGTTGGGAATACTGGAGAAGTAGCTAGTTTAGAAAGGAAGATGATAGATGACCTCTGTTTTGAACTTAAACGAATTTCAAGATATCCGTATAGAGGTATCAAGGAATCAGTCAAAATATATTGGTCTAAAGCTTAGAGCAATCAGGACTAGAGATACAGACTTGAGAGTACTCAGCATAGATGGTCATGAGTACAGTGTGAGAACTGTCAGATATACTAAGGACAGAAACCTAAAAAGCCAAAGCTGACATTTAAGAGTACTCCAGTTATCTTCCATCTTCCCCTCCAGATCTTTCTACCTTTCTGCACCCTGCTCTCTGACCCAAAAGGATAACCTATACAGCACATATCAGCAAGCCCTCTGGCATCTAGTTGGGTTCCACCAATAGGGAGGCCCAGCAGGAGGCTAGAAGTAGGGAGGAGAATAAGGTCAGGGTATTTATTCTCCTGGTTCCCTTCTATGAGATCATCTTGGGCTAATAGTCTCCCTCAATTGAATGTCACTACTCTTCTCAAGGAGTAATGGATATCCTACCCAATCATCTCAACAACTGGGTTCCAGTAACCTCTCCTACCTCTTGTCTTTTCTGACCCAGGGCTGGCGACCACTCTACTGTTGCCAGCTCCAGGTTCCTCAACACTCTGCCCACACCTATATCATTTATAATTAACCTCTTTGCAAATAAACCTTCCTCAAATTATCCTAATTTGAATGAAGTATTGTTTCCTGTTAGGACCTAAATAATAAAGGGGTGGGTAGAGGAAGAGAACCTGCCAATGAGAGAAAGAATGGTTAGTGTAGTAGGAAAAGAACCAGAATAGAGTGTCATAGAAGTCACCAGGGCAATGGCAGAGGGAATTAAAAAGTGTCACATGCAGTTGATAGATCCAGTAGAATAAGAACTGGAAACGTCTAATGGGACAATTAGATAGTCAAAGGTGACCTATGAGAACAGATTCAGTGGAATGACAGAAGCAGAAGCCAGGTAAGAGTGGACTGGTTAGCAGATCTGCTGCTGCTTTCAAAAAGTTAGACAAAAGGAGAGGACCAAGACAGGCAGTAGCATGCAAGGTCAAAGAAGGGTCAAAGAAGGATTTTCTCTGATGGGAAAGATTTGAACATGCTTACATTAGAAGGGATGGCACCAGTAGAGAGACAGGAGAGAAGAGGGAAGAAAAGATGAGATTATTGAAGAAATGAAGACCCTGAGAGGTGGGAGACTGGAGTCAAGTGGTGAGGGAAGGGGAAAGTGGTGATTTTGGGTGGCCTTTGTACTGCCTTTTTTCTCTGCCCAGCCTCCAGTCATCCACAGGATGCTGGTTACTACCCACCATCCTACCCTGAGGCCTCTCCTGTCACTCAGCAGTACAGCCTTGGTAATACCCCCACCCCTGACACCTGGAAGGAACCTGATTTCCTACTGGAATCCTGAAGTCCTGGAAGCTGTTTGTGTTATTCCTCAAAATGACAGGATATTCTTCAACTCCCCCCCACCCCCCCAGCATCTTCTCTAATTTTCCTATGGAGTAAGGACAGGCGCCCAAATGCTGAATTTCTCCTATTTGCTGAAAATTTTGAAAATTACAGTTAATAATGTATCTATATAAGGATCCATTGTAGAGAATTTAGTTATCTTCTTCATCCATGGTACTATTTGAATTGGGAGGTACTGTCTTAAATAAAATTTTTCTCTAATACTCAGCCAAGAACAAATTCCACAAGCTGGTATTTCAGTCCCTATCTACTTCCAAACCCCTCTCTGGCCTTTCCTTTTCACCCTCATCTCTCCTAGAGTTACTTCTTTTCTATCATCTAGCTCTTTACAAAGTCATCATTCATAGAAACTACATCTGTACCACACCGTATGGAAAATCACTTGTGCACAGTAAAACAAGATATAGAAGTTAGGTATGTACCTATCCCCAACTTCAAGATTTGGTTCAAAATTCAAATGCAGAAAGTCTTCCCCAACTAAATTTGACCCCCTCTGACCATTCATTTACTTCGCATTCTGCCAGTGATACAATATTCATGTCCTCTGCTAAATACTGCTGTATAGGTACCGTCTCATATCAAAGCCGATCTCCATTTGGTTGATTTTCCCAGAGGCAGAGCCACACATTAGACCTTATCCTCATATGGAAATATTCCACTACTCACAGCCTGAATTCATATTTCTAAACATAATTTCCTATCTTTCTGTTACTCAGTTCTTCACTTTTCTAAATCTTAAATTAGCTGTTTCTGGACAGAGAGAAGATGAAAGTGCCACCTGAGGAGGCTGACCACTCTTGGTCCTCAGTCTGGGGGATGACAAGCAGACCTCTACGGGGTCTCTACAGTTTAGAATAGGATCTTCAACTCTATAGAATTAAATTTGGTTGTTTTTTTTTTCAATGCACCCTAGAGCAGCCTCAGAAAGCCTCATTCACAAAATAATGATGCATAAACCAAACACCCACTTATTAATTAACAATGAGAACTAAAACTTTGAAAGGACTACACTGCCTAGATGAAAATCTACATGGGAAGCCACATAAAACCCTGAAAATTGTTTAGTAGGTTTGCAATCATAGCAAGATTTTTTTTTTTTTTTAGTGAATGGTTCTTAAACAATGATTCTTGGCCTAGAACTAGGCTAGATACATAAGAATCAGCTGGGAAATCTGTTTAAAAATACTAATTTCCAGATCCCACCTCAGAACTCTCAGAATCAAAATCTCCAGGAGTGGGCCAGGAGATCTGTATTTTTAACAAATGCCTAAGGTGATTCTGATGCCCTACCAGGTTTGGAAACCACTGTGTTAGACAGTCTTAACGACTGAAATTATCCCTCTCTCGGCCTGATGCATATATCTCTACCATAGGTTTGGCTTACCAAATAGCTCAACACATGTAAAGCATCAGTATAGATACACTGATAGTTCTTGCTCTGACTTTTTTCCTACCCTCTATCTTGACTGCCCTTCCCCTTCCTTAAACTTTTGAGAGCAGATAGGGTAGATATAACAAAATTAACTAGATCCCCTTTTCTGAATTAAAAATTATATTTTCATTATGTTTATCAGATTACTGTGACAAGACCTGAATTTGCCCAAAGTGCCTAAATCAGAGTTTACAACAATCTCTTGATAGAAATAGTACTTAATCCTTTTAATTTATCTGCCAAAAATCACACTGTAATTTTCAGTAAAAAAAAATAATAATAATCTATCAACTGACAGTCTGATTTGGTCTTTTTAAAATTTTGTTGAAAACAAAGATTGGAACTTGAGTTACAAAAAGTCCAAGAATCATTTACTTCCTCAACAGATTGTCCCTTTGTGTGGCACTCCAGAGGTTTTCCCACTCCAGAGTGATAACACCATAATAAAATTAAGGAGGGCATGGGTGAGAGGCATGTCTTTCTTTTGTAAAGAAAAGAGCAATTGTGAAAGAGGATGTGAGAAAAGAGAAAGCTATAGACCACAGGCCCATTCTTGAGCAGATGAGTGGTAGGCAAGGATAAATACTGATGTCCAGGATCTAGAAAATGATCTCTATTCAAAAATCCATGTACCCACAGATGTTACAGAAAGTGTTTGTGTACCCTCTCCACATATTTCACTTTGAAGACTACTGCATTATAGCATTCCGGTCAGAGAATGGGGTAAACAAAGCCTCAGAGACCAAAAAGTACAAGAGGAATGAAAATGAACAGAGAACATTCTAACCTCAATGTAGCATGTGCAGAGTTGGGTAGATAAGGAAGGAGAGAAGTGAGGATGCACTGACATTCTGATGTAGAGAATACTGATAAACACTATGTGCTGTGTGCTAAGCAATTTATAGACAATATCTTGTTAGACCCTCACAACCTTCTTATAAGATAAGTATGCTGGAGAGCATCAGTGTGAGGAGGAGCTAAATGACATGCTTTCCGGTCTTTCTCCAGAAACGCTTTTGACAGATCCAGAGCCGACTAAGAATCTGGGGACATGCATGGTGGATAAATGAGAGAGTGAGTGTCTTTAGGATATTAGCCAGGACATAGTTGAGGTGACTGAGATAAGGAGGCCAATGATGTGGGGGAAAGGAAGAATCTGTAAGTAAAAGAATACAATTAATATAACATCATTAAGCCAGCTTGAGTTGTATTCTGTTCACTTACAGACAAAAGCATTTTAACTGATACAAAGACTTTCCCTTAACTTCTGAAAGGCCAGGTCCTACCAAATACTCAATATCTAGTACAAGAATTATCTCCTCCCCAAAGTCTGCACTAACATCTGCAGGAAGGAGGTTCTCTCTTGGTCCTCTGAACCAGCATTTCATTCACCCCTTTCTTTGTACTGCAGTTGTCATGTCGCTTCCTGTTCACTACTACCCAAGACCTACAGAATAAAAACTTAACATGGCTCATAATGCCCTCCAGGTGGGACCCCTGTCTCCCTTCCCATCTCCTGTTGCACACTCTCCAGTGACTGTCAGAAGGTGCAGTCATGTTCAGGGTCTTGCAGTGCAAACATTTACTATTTTTGAACCTAGAACGGTGTCTGATACACAGCTTATAACAACTATTTGTAAAAATAATGTCCTTCTCCCAATGACATTTAATTTAAAGCAGTTATCCACCTTTCCTCTGTTCTCCCCCTGGTTTCCACAATCAAGAAGGACCTATTGCCTGTCTCCTTTCCATAACCAACCGTCATAAGCCATTATCCTGTTTGCCAGCACAATTTGCCACGGGGACCTTAAGTTTTTGACACTGCCCGCCATTTCATTCCTACAGTTCACTTGGGGGTGGGATGTCTAAGAAAGCCACAGTTCCCATTGGCCCCACGTCAGGATGGAGGAAGGGAGTGCCCTTTACCTTTCCCGCCTCCGCGGCTGACAGGCACTTAACCAGAGCCCAGATGGACTCTGGCACAGTGTCCAGGATCCACACCCTATGTGTGCTGATGGGGAAATGGAGGCCCGGGGTGACCATAAAGTCCAAGGTCACACATCGAACTCGGGTTAGGAACGGGCCTAAACATTGGGTTTCCGCTCAGCTCACGAGTGGGGTAGTCAGGAGCCCAGCGTCCTCCTCCCTCCCGCCGGGATGGAACGAGGTCTCACCGCAGGCAGCTGCCACCCCACGATCGCTCTGCTTGGGCTCCTGGCGCTGCTCCGCTCGCACAAACCCGCAGCTGTTGTCTTGGTTTCTCCGCTGACAGGCATCGGTTACTTCCGGTACCCGGGCTGCACTCCAGCCAATCAGCGCGCGCCGCACTCCGCCGAAGGAACAGGTGGTTCGCACGCCAACACCTCCTTCCTTTTTACAGCGTTGCTTTATGCGGCTTCTCGCCCTAATACGAACGCCATCTCTCCACTGCCTGCCAAAGCAGCTAGCTTCTTGGGGGTCCTGTGCACCCGCTGACGCCCACTTCAGCCCCGGGATCACTGACAAGCTGGGTCCTCCGAGTTTCCTAGAACGGCTCCAAGGGTGCACTTCCGCTGTGTGACCGGCCGCTCTGCGCACTGGTGTCGCTTCACAAGCATTGACCTGGGTGGGCTTTAAGAATTGAAAGTCGGCTTCGCTTCCTCTTGGGATCCTGGGAGCTCCTTAACTCCCCCAACCTGCATCCTTTATCCTGTCACTCCTTTCCATAAGCCCTATGAGTCTAGTATACACAGACCCTTAGATCTCAGGAAGAAGCCGGTCAACTGCTGGGACCGAAGGGAGACCTGCTCTGAGGTCATGGAGGGCCTACTGGAGTGAGAGAGTCATGTTTGGGCTCAAATCTGAAGGTTGAGCTGGAATTAGCCAGGTGAAGAGTGAGGGGGAGAGCTTTTCAGATATTGGGAGCAGCATTCTATGCTAGCATTCTTACCTGTTGAATAAGGTTGGCCCATCTAGCCTCAGAACCTTTGTACTTGCCACGTTACTTCCTCTGCCCTTCCTTTGCACAAGATTCTTGTTATTCAGGACTCAGTTCAAAGGTAACTACGTTGGAGAAGCCTTCCATCCTATCTCCTGTTGTCTCAAACTAAACTACCCCTCCCAAATACCAATTACGGGGAAGGACTATTATGGACCCTGTTTGGGTCTAGTACTCACCCCTTAGCCAATCATTGTATTCCAGGGGAAGGGATAGTGCAATTAGCCAAGTCTCAGTCACTTTCTGCCCTAATTGTGGGAGCAAGCTTCTGTGTTTGTCTCACTACACTCCTGTGGAATAGGGAAGGGAGTGAATATTCTCAAAAAGGGAATGTGTGTGTGTGTGTGTGTGTGTGTGTGTGTGTGAACTCCAGTACACAACCTAGCAGAAAAGAAAACTTTCTCTTGAGTGCATCATTGGGATTAGGCCCTAGACTCTAAAGTCCACCATTTTAGCCACTCTCACATCAATATCCTTAACTCTTTTGCCCTACCATCTGTGACTGCCCAGGAAGTTCGTTATCCCTGGATCAGTTGAAATGTCCATTTTTCTTACCCAGGCTGCTAATAACTAGTGGGGGGAAATATACATTTTGGAAATGAGCACCAAGATAAATGTGTGGCTTCTACCTCCCAGCAGTCTTTCACAGCTGCCTAGAAACCATTTTCTATTTCCCTAGTCTATTGTTATTTCAATCTCCTCCATTCTGCTTAAGCCATGTTACCGTAACAATTCATTGCCAGGTACATTCATTCCAAGGAAAGATGCCCAGACTACAGAAGTATCCTGTCTCAGAACCAAGAGTGGGGACATTTGGTTCTACTGACTTTTATCTGGCATACCTGCATTAATGGGCATCTGCCTCAAGAGCCTAGATTTGTGATCCTCGACTTTGGTTATGCATTGAAATCTCCTGGGAACCTTTAAAAATACTTATGTGTGGTGCCACCCACATGGATTCTGTTGAAATTGAGCTCAGATTTGGTCTGGACATGGTTTTTTTTGGAGGGGGCAGTGTTTGTGTTTTTAGCTTTTCAAGTGATTCTAACATGCAACTAACAGTTGAAAACCAATAGCCTCAGTCAGTGATTCTCAAAGTGGGGTCTCTGAATCAGAGACTTGGACGATAGGGCTCAGCAATCTGTGTTTTAACAGCCCTATAGGGGTTCTAATGCACACTAAAGTTTGGGTTTCACTGGCCCAGACATTGACAGTGCTTTACTTGATGGGCCCTTTCATGTGAGTTAGATAGGAAAAGGATAAGTTGTATCCTCCTGGCTACTCTCCTGCCCACCATCTGCTTTATTACACTAGCCAACTTAGGGACCATCTGGAGCAACGGGAATTTACTGAAGGGAGGAGAACCAAGGCATATGGTCCACCATTCTAATTTCCAGCATGTATGAGGATGTGTACGACTGGGTAGGGACTGATGTGTCACAGTCCCCTAACAGGCTCAGAACTTCCATTGAATTGATTTTTATAGTTAAGTAGGAGCAGTTTTGCTCCTCTTGAAAAAAATGACAGGTAGGAACCTTGGCTGCCCTCTCCAATTCACACAGGGACAGGTACATGGAAAATAAAAGGCATACTGCTCTTGTTCACCTTTTTCTTCTATCTGTGGAACATGTGGGAAGGAGGGCTACTAGCACTGACTACACTCCTTTCTTATACTTTAAATCATGTCATCTCTCTAATTAGTATACAGTCTGTTTTGGGGCCTGGTGCTGATTATAATTATATTTTCAGTTGCCTATGGACCACATTCCAAGCTATTTCCAAACTCTGAGTAACAGCACTCAATATTGTCTCAGACTGCATGAAAGCATAAGCCATTGTTTGGATTCTGGAAGATATAACCAAAAGCCCTTCCTTGCAAACCTTCAGGTCTTTCAAAATCCCTTCTCCCACAGGCGTACAGCAGGCCCTCGAATAATGTCATTTTGTTCAACGTCATTTTATTATAACATCGATGAGATGCCATAGGAACTTAACTTTTGTTTATGTCGATTAGCCTATGGTAAAATTGGTTTTGTTATATATTGTTTTGCTTAAAGTCACAGAACCTATCGACAATGTTAAGTGAGGACTTAATGCATAACCCTGAGCCAGTGTATGATTTCATACGAGGACACTGGCTTGAATAGATTTCCCTTTCTTCACTACTCACATCCACAATTTATATCACTGTCATCTCCCTCCTTGATCCTGCCACCCCTTTCTTCTTTCAACTAGGCCAACCTACAGAACATCCCTCACATCAGAAGTCTCACTCAGCATGATACAGATGTGTTTTATCTTATGTGACTTAACCATTTCCTGTGACTATACATTTTCCCCCATATAGACAGAGTGTTTTTTTATTACATGTCCCTGAGAGGTACTGGCCTTGCAGAGCCTATGTTCAGTAGAAACCAGCTCACCTGAAATACTCATATCCCAGCTCCACACACAAGCAACCGGCTAAAGCTGAGTCATGGCTCAACTAAGCTTTTAGCATTCCCTTTACACCTCTATACATAAAGAAGTTAACAATTATACCAAAAAGTCCAGAGCAACCAATTCTGAGCCTGACCCAGCAACGTCATGTTTTCACCGGGCCAGGTTAACAGATCCTTCTTTAGCAAGTTCTTTAAGCCTAAGAGATGCCCTCAGGGTCCTGTAAGGTCCACTTCTCTCTTAGATGAAACCATGGCCCCTTTCACATGGGATTAAATGCAACAACACCTAGAAACCTCAGCTTCCCAATAACTGCTTCACGGTTTATTCTCAGGTCAGGAGGCAAAGAGAAGGCTGCTCTGGTAGAGGGGTCAGTGCTGGGCTTCAAGGAAGTGGAGCTGGAAGTGGTAGGAGGGGTCGCAGTGGAAATAGACAATAGCGGAATGTGCAAGGGAGCAAGTGATCAGAGGACAAAGCAGAAGAAAGCTGTATCCCAATGAATGAGGCTCCTCCTCACCAGGGCTTGGGAGTCTTCCCAAAGTCAGCAAAATAATCAGCACACTTGCCACAGAGCTAAGATCCCACTGAGCCCTAATAGTGTCCAAGCCTCGAATCTGACTTAGAGCCCCTTAGAGCTCATCACAACGCTTCAGGCAACTGCTACCAATTAGGTGAATTCCCACATGAATAGGAATTATTTGTCCTCTCAAGGCCAGGCCAACATGAATATTTCTGAGGCCCTTTTTTGAGAAAATAACATGGGAGGAAAATCAAGTCCCAGTGTCTCCCATCATCGCAGGGACATATAAGTTCCCAGTGTGACCGGAGAATCTTAAGACTGCCAGAATGACTCCTAATTCTATTTTCATGGTGTCGTTTTCTGAGCTGAAGATTTAGCCCATCAAAAAATCTTGGATGAACTTTTCGGTCCTCCAACAAGATCTCTTCTCTATGACTCATCCTTCTTCTTCAGGCTGATGTGATCCGTTTGCCATCTCCCACATTCTGTTTACTCACTCTTCATACTGTTTTCTCTTACACCATATGCCTGCCCCCAGTACTGTCCTCGTGTCCACTGCCACCGAAATTCATAATTGTGATGATATCTCAGGGTCCCTTGAATCCTCTCTCTAGATTCATCTTGGGTTCACTCCCTTCCCCCATAATTGAAACTCACTCTACTCCTACAGTAGCAAGTCATTAAAATGGTGACATATCCTCCTTGACCTCACTACATTAATGCCATATAAAAAATAATGTTGTATAGATCTTATCCACATGGGCAAAATATAGGTTTTGAGGCATGGTTTAAAAGAACAATAACAACAAATCCAAACCTTACAAATACCTCACATAGTTTATAAAGCCCTCACACATGTGTTAGCCATGATCAGAATCTCTTGAAGCTTAGGTTGTCTATGGCAACTGTAGAAAAGGCTTTCACAGATGTTGGAGCCCCGATGGATTCAGTGACTTGTCCAAGTTTACTCGGGTCAGAAGGGGGAAGGCCAGATTAGTACCCACATCTTCAGACTCCTCCCAGGGCTCTTTTCACTCCAACCTGGCTGCCTTCCTAAAGCCCCTCTTAGCACACAATCTGCCCCTACCCCTTATTGGGGCCCTGAAGCATGGCCAACCTCTTTTGCCTCTGTTTTGACCATTAGTCAGCTCCAGAGAGGAAATTTCAAATCTAACATTCAAAAAATCCACATTTGCCCTACATGTGCATGAAGTATCTCCCATCTA